TCAAAAGCCAAGGAGAACTGTGAGCTGGAGTGGAGGAATCCAACCTCAACACAGGAATTTGCATGACTTTGCAGAGTGATCTAGACCAACACATTACCCACGCAGTGGACCAAGGTTCCTCTTTTAGAGCGGCTTATCTGCCTCGCAATTATTGACTGGGCTCATTTGGCCTCCTGTTGGTAAGTCATGAGTGAAGAAAGTAATGAATCTTGTAGAATATCACCTTTCTTCTCTTTACATTTAGTCGTGAATGTTCTATTCCTCTTCAGGATTTTGCTTATTTTAGAGTAGAAGACAGAGTGTACAATGCCAAATGTTGACATTGATCACAGTCCAAGTAGCGTTCTGCTGTTTTCTTTTTTAAATTAATTTTCAAAAAGTCTTGACTCCCTTGTCCTAGACATGCATCACTGTCTGGAACTTTTTCCAGCAAGCAAGTGCCCCATATGGGGCAGACATGCTACAGTGGGCCAGAGATGTGTAAACCTGGCAGTTCCAAAACATACACAATCCCGCTGCCAAGAACTGGATTATCTCAAGCAGTTTTCTGCACAAAAGCAGCTCCGAATGCTTTCTTGATCTCTGCAACCTTTCCCTGAGAACGCGTTGGGTTATGACCGATGACAAGAGACAGGTGCAGCCAATTAATACAGAGTGACGCAGCGTCCGGGGTACGGCCACTTGGGCAGGATAATTAGTGTCTGATGTCCCATTTGAGTAACACTGTCCACAAGGCTAGAAGAATGCTTTCTTAAAGACTAATACAATCCAGAAACAGCAAGATGAAGACTAGAACTGCAACCATTTGTCAATTAATCTATTCAGTGACTGAAAAAAGTTTGCAACTTTTAAAATAATCAATTAATAGTTTAGTCACTTTTTTAAGCAAAAACATTCTTTGGTTGCAGCTTCTCCGGTGTGAGGATTTGCTGCTTTTCTCTGTTTTATATCATTGTAAACTGAATCACTTTGGTTTTTGGACTGTTGGACAAAACAAAACATTTCAAGATGTCATCTCAGGCTATGGAATACTGTGCTGGACATGTTCCAGTAGTTTCTAACATTTTATAGTCTAAATGCTTAAAGAAAAAAAAAATCTGCAGATTAATCAATAATGAAAATAATCATTAGTGGCAGCTCTAATTAAGACACACACTTTTATGGCAGAGTGCCAGAAGGAACACTAACTGATGTTTTAGAGCGCTACAGGCGGGGAAAAAAAGTGTCTTGACTAGATGTTACATTCCTGGCCATTATTCACATATAAAGCTGGGTGATAACTCCATATAACTGCTGATCGACTTTAAGTGGAATCATATGAGGATGATATAATCCTATCATTTTATCATTCCACACATTTCTGTGCACAAATGATCCAAAGCAAACTGTAGTTAAAAACTAACACAATAGAATGATTAGTCGGTGGACAGAAAATGAATCTGTTTTACTATTTTGATAACTGGATTAACCGTTTAAGTCATTCTTTTAAGCCAAAATGCCACAAAAATCACTGGTTCGACCTTCTCCAGTGTGCATTTTTTCTGGTTTTATTAATTCATTTATTTACTTACTTGTATGATATTAAACTGAAGATCTTTGGGTTTTGGACAGTTTGTTTAGACCCAACAATCAGTTTCAATATGTGAAATGGGGCGCTAGGAAATTGTGATGGGCATTTTTAACCATTTTCTCTGATTTTACACAACAAATGATTGTTTGAGGAATTGGCACTTATCAAACGAAATATATGGACAACAGATCATTGATTTAAACATCTGTTTGACTGCATACATGTGCCACATAGTGACTTTTATTGACAATAAATAATAACCTTACATCATAATGCCATAATGCTTTTCACCATAAACACCCAGACAGACACACACACACACACACACACACACACACACACTTTAGTCATTATTTTAACAACTTACTGTAAAGGGACATCATGTGGATGATGTGATGATCTTTATTTTCTTTATTAAAGTCTGCTGCCACGGACTGTATCCACCATATATAAGTATGTGATAACAAGTGATATAAATAACAGGAAGTGCACTTCTGTCATTATCTTCAGCCTGCAGTAACTGAAAAGCGATTACCAGAGACAGCAGAGGGAGCCAGGCCCTGCTGGCAGAAGCAGCTCACACTGTGTCCCACAGCCATATGGAAGCGTTTTGCTTCCCCAGTCATGCCCCGTCGGGTTTAACAAAAGTGGCGACTACCACATACACTGCTTTTGGGACTTCATTCAGTAGTGTCTTTTATAAAGCAAAACCCCCTAAAGAGGCCTACTTCAAACACAGCAAAACCAGACTTGATCAATAGGAACATAAGAGACGTGTCAAACTGGGAGTGCAGAAGCTAAAAGCAGTTTTACCAACAACATCAAACATCACAGCAAGTAGAGACAAACTCAGGATCCATTGTGACTCATCTTCACAGTTTTAAACTTTTCTTGGTTCAGGTACAGTGCAGCATTATTTGGCAACTATCTCGTGAACGCGAACAAGTCCAAGCATTTTGCAATCATGGAATATCGCAGTGGAATATCATCTGGCTGCTGGAGAGCAACGTAAGATAGTTTTGACCTGATGCAAAAACTATTTTGGTTTTAAGGGAGACTCCTGATTTCAAGGTTGTCTCAGCAGCCTTGACTTTGAGGAAAAAAGATACAATCAGCTTTATAGAATTTCCCCCTAACTGAGGCCTGAGAACACTGCAGACACCAGAGAACTGTCCTTCACACACATCACATACTGCACGTCTGAAAGAGCAAACAAGTGAACTCCTGCATCGGTGAAGTCGATCAGACACAACTGAGAAAAGGTTTTTTTCCCAGGTGACCAGATACCAGTTGGTGTTCCTCCTTGCGCACACAGCAGCTGAAAGCTCAAAGCAAAGCAACGGTGGGAGAGCAGAGCTCACCCTGCAACAATGCCCCCTTTGTCCCGGACTAACACTGTACCTACCAGCCTGCTCTTTGATTCCCTGCCAAGACAAACCACTGTGTTGGGTTACAGTTCTTGTAGCAAAACAATCTGCGCTTGTGTTTAATATACTACAGTCTGCCTGCATTGGGCTGGCTGTCAGTCAGGGCACAGACACACAGACACATACACACACAGACTGGGGGCCCACTCCTTATCCCATTAGCACTAATGAGAGAAGGGTATGTTGATTATGTGTGTTGAGGGCTACCTGTTAGGAGGATATGGAGGAGAGATAACCGGCCGACCAGCAGCATCAAAGAGAGATGAAAGATAAATCACCCTCTCCATTCTCCTCAGGTCATTTTCATACTAATGTTGTCTCACACACCATCGCCTTCCACTCTCACCTTCAGTTCACTCACACTGTTGGCTCAGACAGACGTACTGTTTGCTTCTACTTCAGCACAGTAAGTAATTTGGTTTGAGTGCCAACATTCCTGTTTCAAATAGCAGGTCCACTGATGTTGGTCCAGTGAGCTACAACTGAGATATGTGCGTGTTTGGGGTGTGCGTGTGTGTGCCTGTGTGAAAGCGAGTGGATGTGTGTAGAAACAGAGCTGGAAGATATGTGGATGACGATCACGCCAGGCTTCGCTGGAGCTACGTTCAAGAGCATTTTCATGGAATAATGCTCTCGTAGTACCAGTAT